AGGACATAGAAGAAATGGACATGAGAAATTGGAAAACAAAAGCAAAAAACAGAGAAGAAAGGAAGACTGTTGTTAAAAAGGCTTAGGTCCTACATGGACTGTATAGTCACGGATGAAGATGATGATTACGTATCTTGAAAACATGGACGCATGCCTGCAGACCGATCGATGCAAATGGATTAAGATCTTTGAAGACATTTTCGAATAAATTAGCCTAATGTTTTCGAGGACATTTTGCGTTTCGAAGACTGAATGCGTCCATGTCTTGCATAACGGACGCATTCAGTGAAAATAGTCATTTATTTTTTTCACACATTTTCTATTTATTTCTTTTTTTTTGTGCTCTTTAATTCTAAATTTTATTTTTATTTAAATAACTAGAAAGAAATTTGTTCGTAATTATTTTTTGTTATTAAATTAAATTAAAAAATGTGAATGGAATAGAGAATTTTACTTCACAAAATGCTTATTTACTTCACTCAAAATGGGCACTGATAATAACGAAGGCATAAACTATATCGGAAGTTGTGAATATTACAATTGAGAAGAGTAAGTACCATATAATAGATAATAACTATTCACATTCATGTTTTAAGCAATTGTTTTGCAAATTTGCTTGATTAGGCGAATGCAGTATAAAAGAATGTCTCAAAGACAATGTCTTCGAAGACGCATTTTCCAACTGGGTTCAATCGAGATAAATACAAACATTTGTAAAGCTTCTTTAAAGCAATAGAGAAAATGTTTTTAAATCAAAAACTTAAAATATTGGCTGTCGCCAGTCGGTAGTTTGAGTACCTTTTAGTTATTTACCACTTGCACCATCAATCGAAGATGCGGATTTCGCATTTTCATCATACGAATTAAACGTCATTTTAGCCGGAGTATCCCATCATTAACATTGATTGCCTAAACCAGTGAAATCGTTGAATTTTTATACTTTTAACTTTATTATTGTCACGGTATAGTTGATACAGTTCAACGTTTCATCTAATTTGATCTTTGTTACTAACGTATACGATGCATTGCGATCGTTCAATCTAGTCAATAATCTATATTGGGTATTGCACTTTTGTAAATAATTGCACAAGTAGAGTTCAATTCAGTTGCTCGAAGTATTGTTTTGAATATTGGGTTGTAGCAGTTACACAATAAGGATTAACCCTGTCTATTATTTTGAACAGTTCGGTGAGATTTTTAGTTTTAACGGAGTTTGTGGTAGTGCTCAACATTATTTGACTAAAATGTATTAATTTGTCTAGTATGAATAGCGGGTTCAAATCCACAATAATAAGAATTAGTTCGTCGCAACCAATTATCCTATATCCAACAGAAAATCGTAGATCGCATTGGTGTGTAGAAACTCACGCAGAGAAACTGTGCATTTCACATAACCCTCACTGGAGAAGTTGTGGAAACCCGCAGGAGAAATAAACCATAATACATTTTCTTTGTGAATACCCGGCTTTGGCGTCCAGAAGATATAGGTTCTTAGAAAGATACTTCTTTGACAGTTTATCAGACTGTTCATCGGTGAAGTCAAAAGACCTATTAAATTACCTAAATTCGGCAGGATGGATTTAGTCTCTACTCTTCTACACTAGGGTTCCTGCGAGAAATGTGGTAGCAAACGGCGAAAAATCGCTAATTGAAGTACATGAAAGTTATCTAATCACACCCTACCAAAGAAGAAAATTACGATATAAATTCCTTACAAGATATACATATATTAAATCTGATAAATTCTATGTTGCAGCCTAATATATAAGTTGGTGATTAATGAAAGTAAGATTGTGATTAATTTTTTTAACAGCATATATATGCTTTAGTCTGAGCCTAAACGAGAATATTTATCCAGGAAGTTTCATTCCCTACTTACTTTTAGAATATTAGGATATTTGGTTCTTTAAGAGTTAAATGTGTTCTATTTAGTTAGATTCAGTTAGCAGTACAAAATATCTGAGATAGTCACAGTGCTCCTTTGCATTCGGAATTATTATCTCGTTTATCTCTGATATCCTCGTTTATTATTTATGTTCCTTTATTTTAACCTATAAATTATCAGATTACTTACTTGCTTTTTAGGATAATATCGCCTATCCTCTGTTTATCTTTTATATCGCTCTTTATGATTTATTTTCCTTTATATTAATCTATTAGTTATCAGATATATATACATATATCTCTTAGCAATGCAAAGTAATACAATTGTTTTTACTCATACATTTATTTGGAATGTAAAATAAAACTTATCTAAGACATATAAATTTTTTATGAAATAATATATTATTATTCATTGAGCAACTTAGATTTTTAATGATTTTTAATAATTTGATAAAATTAATTTTTTGTAGACATTTAATATATAAAATATTATTTTAATGTTTTACAAATATTTTAATGTGCTCATTTAGTTTTTGGTAGAATTTTTAAAATTATTCTTAAACATATTATTGTTATATACAAACCCATGCGATTTTATTTTAAATATATATAATTGTTCTTCTGTGCAAAATATATATTATTCTAAATTTTATTTTAGCAAAGCATATTTATATTATATTATTTAAAAAGTTATATTAGTTTCATAAATAATTTCAATAAAAATATTGAACTCAGTTTGAAATACAATTATTTTATATTAAAATGAAATGTTACATAAATTTATATAAGTTTTTGAAAAAGTTAAAATTTTTTTAATTTTATAAAATCCAAAAATATTTTTCTTAATACTCTGATTTTATATAAGTTTTCATTATTTTATAGTGTATTTGTATACATTTAAATTGTAAAACTGATTTATTTTTTAAATGTTGTAAACCAAATGGGTCTCCAAATGTAGCTCGATCGTATTGTTATTATTAAGAGTATCTTAATTTTATAAATATTTTAAAGGACTAGCATCATTTTACAAAATTTTCATAATTTTTTATCGTAAAAATTTAAATAAATTTTTTTTTATAATTAATGTAATTATTATTGTGTAATATTAATATGACAATATTAAATAATAATATAATATTATTTTTATATAATATTATTATTATATAATATTATCAATTATTTATATTAAACTTTTGTTGCACATATATAATAATTATAATTCTATTTATCTTAAAACTATTTCACATAAAAATATCATAAAATATATTTAAAAAAGTTACACATTTGCACATTTAAGGCCCGTACGTATATTTTGTTTACATATATAATATATTCATGTAAATTATGTAAATAAATAGTTTACATTAACTGATTTATAATTATTTGCAACCCATGTATTCAGCTATTTTTTTTTTTTGTTATAACTTATTAGAAATTATAACTTCATTTTAATATTAAGAAAACAAAAGAATTTATTGGAAAAAAGTATTTAACAACAGAATATTAGTTTTTTTATTATATATAATAAAATCTTATCAACACATTCTTTTGATATGATTTGAGTAAATTCCACGTAATTTAAAACAGCAAAACAGAAAAAAATTTCTAAAATTAATTCAAATTTTTAAGTTAATCTTTGAAATGAAGATTAATTATTATTTATTATTAATTAAGTGGGGAATACTATATACTTCGACACAATTTCTATAGACCTAACAGGCCAAAATGGTCTATTTCGTTATTGCTTTCTGTCTATTAAGCTACCATGACAACTTCGAGGAAGGCGTATCAAGTCGATTACGACTATAAAACAATATTTGGTGGAGTAAAAGGCAACACCTTATTCAGCATGCAAAAATTGGAATTGAGATTAAGCTCAGCTTGTTAGGGACTACTTCAAAGGTGACAAAATAAATTCTGTTAAATTGAAGATTTATTTGCGTTTTAGAAACGAATGAGGATATTTTTAGGAACTAATCAATGCTAGATTTTTAACGTTATGCTTAAACGGTAAAGATCTGAGCAAAGATCAAAAGGTTCTTAACAAATCATAAGACAATTTCAATTTTTTTATTTTTTTGTCTACAAGAGCTTTCTTTTTTTCTCTCACATATGTCAGTTCGGAGAGTATGTGAGAATTCTGATAACTGAAAATAAGAAAGCAGAGAAACTTTAATTTGTATTACAAAAAAAAAAAACAAAATAATAACAGAGTATGCAAAGCTTCAGCTGAACATTAAAAGGTATGAGAACATGTATGAGAAATCACAAACTCTTTGCTTTAAAGTTCATTTAAAGATTTGGTCATCTATACGATTTTGTTATCTCTGGATAAGATATGAGCCAAATCAAAAACTCTTAGAAAAAGTTGGAGTCCTTAACAGAGAGATATGATTTTAAAAAAAATTTCTCTGGATAAGATATGAACCAGATAAAAAACTCTTAAAAAAAGTTGGAGTCCTTAACAGAGAGATATGATTTTTAAAAAAATATAGTTTAGGCATTTTATTTTATAAATACGTTCTATAAAATATTTTGCGTAAGTTAATAGTTTAATATGTGTATATGCATTAATCATACTGCATGCACAAAAAAGAATATACAAATATCAAAAAAAAAGATTAAATTAAAAAAAACATTAGCACTGTAAGAAACTATACTGTTGTGATCTATTACATTCCCTCATTCTGTCTTAAAACCTATATTTTTATGTAACTACAACTCCATCTATCACTGTGTCTCACTCTTACCAAAGTTACATTGGTAAGAAATGTGATTTCTTACACTCTTAATTTGAGCAAATAGTTTGAGCATTTAGTACAATTAATTTAAAATTAATAATAATTTAAATCTAATATAACTAAGCCTCTTATTTGGTTTTTTCAATGCTTTGTAGGAAACCTTTTAAAACTGTGAGTTATTTTTACAATATTTATACAAATACAAAAATAAAAGGAAAACAAATTGGTGTGATAAACATCAATTTAAATATTTAATTAGATTTAATAATTAAACTTGATCAAGTATAAAACGATTTTAAATGATTTCTGTATACGATATAATTTAGACAAATTGAAAATGCATTTAAATTATTTACATATATAGTTATTCTTCTTTCTTTAGTTAAAGTATAACCTTCGTATGGACGGCTTAATACTATTTATGGCGAATTATAAATGCATATAAACATCTATAAATCTATAAACATATAACTTAATTATTTATAAACATATTATTGCATATTGCATTTCAATGCAAACATTCATACACCGAGTTAGTTGTATGTCTTATTATTGTATTTGGCATGGTAATGTAGCCAATTTGCAAAGGTACTTATGATTTGTTGTTCTTTATATGATTTCTTAAAATTGCGCATAGTAAGAAAATAAGATTCCTGTCCAGATTCCTATTAGCATGCACTCATTCAGATTTTAAGCGTTTTGCGACATGGTTTGGATTAATGTTAGAGTTGTTAATAAAATCTAATTGATAGTCAAAATCAAAGTCAACATCTTTTTGCTGAAAATATGATTATGAGAGTAATTGTATAAAAATTGTGAAATAAAATTTTAAACTTACAAAACTCACCAGCCGATCGCAAATGACAGCGATAGCCGTTTTCTGTTGTGCCTCTGCAATCTTATGTTCCACTAAGTAGAACATATACTCATCGTAGAGTAAACGTATCAAGTGGAAACTACCAAAACTAGAAGCGGAACGCAATGTTAAATCTCGTATAATCATCGAACTATAAAAACTCCAATTGAGTAAAAATTGACGTGCTGCTTTGGGATAACTAGGCTTTCCATGATAATCCTCCAAAGCTGTATCAACAGCAAGTTGTAACCATGCAGCCCATTGCTCTAAAGTGCTTTGCTGTTGCAGTGCAGCTTTAAAATCATTTTCTAAACGTTGTACCAGACCCGTTTCACACTGGCAAACCCATGAAGCTTGTTCCTAAATTAAATAAAAAAAATTTTATAAGAATACGACATTCATTTATTTAAATTTATAAAGTAAATAGAAGATATTATATATATATATATATATGCTAAATATATTTATTTTATTATACACTTTATGGACTAAATGCATACGGTAATACAATAATTAGTCGTAATTTTTTGTCACTAGATTGTGTTGGTTTCTAAGATAAGATAAGAAATATACAGGGTTATAAAAAACCGGCTCCAAACGAAGCTGAGCATCGTCACCATAGTTGATCTTTTGATCTGCTGCGGACCCTAGCCGAACAGAAAATATTCCGTCCTTAGAATAAAAGCCAAAATGTCAGTCCTTGAGAACATTCTAATGTTAGAAGGGGAAAGTAATTCTCGACCCAGTGACCTTCACCTGGCCAGGATCAAGGCTGAACAGTCACAGAGAATGTGACTGGAAGTCTCGTCTGCTTCTAATCTCTCTACAAACAAATCCATTTTGTTAATGTAAAACGTATACGTGTTTGAAAAGTAACCTTTGAGGTAATACTTTTTTTTATATACAAGAATACAGTTATAGTCATTTATCGATTGAAAGAAGCGTTTGAACTTAACGAAAATTACCGGTAACAGAATCACTGATCTTAATTACTTTTATATTAATTTTTTAATGTATAGTAGATGGCCACATAACTATCTAAAACAATGCTTAATAATAGAGGACCACAACAACTGTGCAGGCAATTACAAGCAAGAGTTGTTGAAAGCTAGTGGGTCGTGCTATAACGCTCTGTAATTGTTTCTTATAAAATGTCATTAAAAATAGCAGCCCTCCATCAGTTAGTTATATTGGTCAGGCAGTTAATAGTTGGTGTATATGATATTGTTGTAGTCCACCGTAAACGAGGATTGCTAGCTATCTGATATGACAAAACGTTACTTGTATCTAGAAGAATATAGGGTTTTAGTCACATTTCTTATGATTGTGCGACTTTTCTCTGTGCTAGGAGGATATCGACTAAAAATTCTTATCCCATTTCAATCAGCAACTTATCAATGAAAATATATTCTATGTATATTCTTCAATAGCAGAAGTAACAGTAGTTTTTACCACTATATTATATCTAAATAATGGAAGGATATATCAATGTATAGAAAGTATTGAGAGTATGCAAAATAGAAGATTCGTTAGATTGAGTTGCATAAAATCATTCACAGTACAGATATTTCGGTCTACCATCTCCAATGTGCCATAATTAACAAGAGAAGCATAAAATCGCAACAATAATCAATAACATTTTGGTCTACCAAAGGAACGGAGGACTGCGACCATGCTAGATTTTTAGCGATAATTCTTTCATTTCCCGACTGGCTAATATGTTTGGTTCAATTAAACTCAATTAAATTCATAATAAATATATGACTTACCTGTACATTACGAAAATCAACTCGATTCAAATCATTCAACATTTGTGATATTTGAGAACTATTTTGTAGTACAGCTCGTGCTGCCTGTGCTAAATGATTTAAGGATGTATAGCGACGTAAAGTTTGACAAAATGCTGATACCGTAGATGTTTTTATTTGAACCAGACGTTCTGGTATACCAGCCATTGATTCACACAACCAAAGTTCCATATTCTTAGCAAAATTACGTATGGCCTGAGTTAAAGCATTTGGAATGGAACGTAACACATCTGGTATAATAACATCAACCATATTTTGATAAAATTGATAGTCTACCTATTATATCAAAAATTATATTAGAAAATTTATTAAAAAAAAAAAATATTTTTATATATATACTATATTTTAAAAACTTACTTCTTGTATAAATTTGTGTATTTCCACACAATGAAAGAGTAAATATAATTTAGTTTTACTTAAATATTTTTCTTCATCACATTCATCCATATTATTATTATCTGATGAACGCCAAAAATCACGCCAGACTAATTCAATGGTATTGAATTCCAAACTGACGACTGCATCCAAAAAAGCTTCACAATGATCACGATACATTGCACGAAAGGTTTCAACATCATCCTGAGTCAGTTCACTGTTAAAGGTGTTATCCAGTTCAATAGGAGGAAAAGTTGGTAATACGCCAGCGCCATTACCCAAATACTAAAAGTTATATTTATGATGAAAATAATTTATAAATAAAGCGATATACATTTTTTATATATAATTTACAGAAATTAAATATATTTAAAAAAAAATTATATTTCTATGGAATTTGGATCATACATTTTCGCACGTTTTGAAAGAACAATGCAATTTATAATAGATATGGGAAAATAATTAAATTATATTTATTATTTTTACTTAAAAATAAAAATTAATTAAAACATTTAATTATATTGCTTTGCTTTATATATATTTAATAACATTCTTTATGTTACTTTTACTTATAATCTAACATTAATGGATTTTGTTATTTTCTTTAAATGATATTTCTAGTCGAATTATAACCTCACTAGCGTTATACATGGTGAAATGTACTTGAATTTTTCAGCACATATCTGTGGTGTTATGGTCCGCGTTGAAATTAATTCGGAAAGCAATTTTAATTTTCACATTTCAAAATTTTTAGAACTGTGCCATTTATGATCTTTACAAATAGATTTTATGATTTTATACAGCAACCAGTTATTTTTTTTAAGGATAAATTGAAGAAATTTTATTTTGCAGATTATTATAGTTTATTATATTGATGTCTTTCACAAATATTAAAGGTTTCTGTTTTGGACAATTTTATACATACATCCCTGTTTTCCGATCTTAATGGAAGCATTATTCCGATAGTGCAAATTACTACTAGTATTATTGCTCTTACTGGTAGTTGAAGACTTCTATAAGTATAGCTCACCAAACACGTAATCCGCGTACACAAAATGAAGAAAATGTGATTATAGAATTGCTTTAGTTGCTTAAAGATGTATACTGATTAAAAAATATTCTATTTATTTCAAGGCATAGATATTCGACGTAATACTTATTGAAGAAGTTGTTATTGATTTTCTAGAAGAGAAGATTAGAGTGCTATTAAATCCTCCCAATCTAATACAAATATATCTTTACTTTTTAATTTTTTAGATGGCATCCTTGGTGAATCAGAAGTAGGTTCGACAATTTTCCGAGGACGTTTTTGTCCATATTTAACATATTTGGGATATACACCATTTTTTTCATTTTCTTCGATTGTTTTCATAAAGTATGCTAGCGATTTATCACTTGTTTCTGCTGCTTCACCATTGGTTTCCAGTTTAGAGTCACCATTGGAACCATCGTTTGCAGACATTTTAGATTCTAATAATTCTGATGTCTTTCTTGCTTTGTTGTTGTCAGACATATGAAATTCTCAAGATTAACAGGTAAAATAATATAACTTCTGCTTTTTACTTGAAGCGCAAAATTAATATGAAACACTATACACTTGGTTAATATTAAACGCGCGAAAAGAAGAAAGGTATAACAGAGAACACTATATAAACACAAAAATTTAGAGTGAAACGTCACTTAAACGTAACTGTTGGCAGATTTTACTACTAAAGTATAAAAAAAATAGAAACTTTTTTTTTATCTGCATATGAACAAATTTTTATACTCGCGACTACTTGCTTTTCGGCAAAATATAATTCGCACAACTCGTTATTGTTTACTCGTAAAATAAAATAAAACGGTAAACAGAATGTGTTCAAATAAGGAAAACCGAATACCGCAAGAGCGAGTACGAGACTTGTATGTTTTATATTTAAAGTGAGTAAAATAGAATATGAGTAAATATGTACTCGAGGGAACGAATAAATCATACTCACGACACTTGCGACAAGATAAAATGTCTTGAATAAAAATTTGAGTAAAGTGTATGGTTGCCATAAACGTATATATGTGTTTGTTCCTATGTGTGTTTATAAGTGAAAAAAGTAGTAAAGCAGAGTAAAAATTATGTATGCCCAATAACAGCGTAGGATATGGAAATATGTATTATTGATATATTTGTATATATGTGTGTATATTATGTGATGTGTATGTTATGTTATGTGTCTTAAGTCGCTTTTAATGCATAGTTCTTTGTGATATTTTTTTTGAATTGTAGTTTTTGTTGTTGTTTTGTAGTGTGGAATTTTTGTGTTTGTTGGTAATTAAAAAAATGTATTTACCACAATTTTTGTAGATATTCATTAAGGGAATATGGAATATAATCCCATACGATACAGTTGTATAATATGATATTAAAAGAAATATCAAAAATATAGGAATATTAAAACATGTAATTTGCCTATGATAAAATTACAATCATGAATTCTGAAAAGGTACACGCAATACTGTAAACATGACTATTCAAACATAAAAATAATCGAGAAATTAAACCAATAGCGAACGCAATATATTTTGTTTAGACAAAACCATATAGAAAAAACTCTAATATCAGAGCAAATGACACGAAGTAGGATCTTTTGGTACTGAATGGACAGACAAACTGCAACACTTCCCAGCAGCGCTTGGGACTAGTTCTGAACCAGTGAATTCACTAGTCCCCAGGTGTATAGTACAGTCACGGTTGCCACTTATGGTACTTTAGTACCAAAATTGGTACTTTTTTTTCGTTTGGCACTCATGTTCAAAAAATGGTACATTTCTGACGACCCAACTTTATTGGGGATATTTCCAATTATTTTTTTTTATAAATGCAACTTTGCACTATTTTATATTTTGTTCATTTATAACACTATGAAAAACACAGAATGAAAAAACAAAAAGGTCCAAAAAAATTTTGGACCTTTTTTTACAGAAATGGTACCTTTTTAAACCAATTTTGGTACAGAAAAAAATTTTCAAGTGGCAACCGTGAGTACAGTATTGTGAAAGAGACATCATATTAAAAACAAGAGAACGAAGCATAATGCTCTTAATTTGTTTATAAAAAACGAACATAAGCAGCGGATTTTTGTTTCAACTGGTGAATTGTTGTATTACCAGGGGTCAGAATATGGACTACTTAAAATAAATAAAATAAATATCTCTAATATGTAGTTGAGTTTCTTTGTTCCTCATTTGTTTTGGTTTTCTTAATGGAATGCACTATTAAATGTTGTACAAAAAAAGTATTGAGAAATTTTTATATTCTAAGTGGCGATTTAACTCATCCCCACGGACCACTCACGAACTACTTTGTGTTCTAGTGGCTAGCGACAATTGCGGCCTAAAGAACTGCTGGTTTATTCTTATATTATTTGTTATTGCACGCACACTTCCTTAATGGCTTTGTATGCGAAGGTAAGTGAGGAATTATTGTTGAAGGTGATGCATGGACTTTGTTTTTGTATTTTTTTTACTTAGAATATATGATTCCAGGCTTTGTGTGCATGGAATGATAAAATTTTATACAGACCTCATACAAAAATATGATATATGCGTATTATGAGAGAAGTAAGTACCGACAGTAGCACAACCATAGTTGTTGTTAGTATAAATGCTATTAATATGTTCGGTATTGAAGACAGTAATATGCCGTATAGTAGCAATGACATAATGAAGTATATTAATCAACACTACGTTCTTTAATAATTATACTTTATATTTTAAGTTTTCAATATTATTTAATTAAATCATATAAAATAGAATCATTAAGTAAAATTTTATTACTTAAATCATATAAGTAGATAGAAGTAGTTAAGTAATATAGTAATATAGAAGTCAAATTAATAGAATTATTAATTTTTTTTAAAACAATTAATATGAATGAATAAATAATATACTAACTGCTACGGAGTTAGAGCTGGCCAAGGTTACTTAATTTTTCTAAGCTGTTAAAAAATTGTGAGAAATGTTATTACGAGTTGGACATAATATTACAAAAAAAAACATTCTAATATTATACAGAAATGATATAAAGAGTATTTATTGGTATTAGTAGCTTTAGAGGAAATTTTCAGTAAAACACAGTTATAAATCGAGTCAGTAGTAAATGGTTTCGTTATGGCCGTGTGCGAGTTCGAATAAATTGAAGTAAAGTAAATTGAAATTACCTAGAGATTTTTTGCACTGTACTTATGTAAATATTTACTTATTGCACTTATTTATTATTCTAGGACAAAAGTTTACAACCCGTTACAGTTATTGTATATATGTATATTTATGATATGAAGATATGAATTGGCACAGTGATAGATGTGATGAAAAGATATTATAACTTGGTGCGCGATATGAATGGTGATTTGTATTACACATAAGGTAAAAATTATTTAGACAGTGGGAAATAGTAGAAACAATATATTCGCCAATATATTTGATGAAAAAATTATCTAAGTAATTTTTTGATATAAATATGATGTGAGTTATTTCTTGAAACTTTAATCAAGTTAGTTACTGAGTTATCTCTTGAAACTTTAATCAAGAGATAACTAACAATCCCTTGAATTTTCAATTGATGGTCCTTTCAAACAATCGCTTTGCTAGTTTTAAGTTTGAGTTTCAAAACTTTCAACAAGGCTTTCGGATTAATCGGTGTTATTGGGGTCTTTACGAAATTAAAAGTCAAGAAATAATATATAACTATATTTATGAGGAAGAGTTTCCGTAAATTTATCAAGTCATGCTTGTGCTTTAATAGTGTTCTTGAAGTAAATTATAATCAAAGTACTAAATTATTTTCTCTTTTTCCACTTTTTAAAAATATATATAAATAACAATAATATAATAAAATTACATTTTTAGAGAAATACTATTCCGAAATGGCAAAATGAGTCTTTTATTTGAAACAAATTAGTTTTAGTTAAACTTAGAAGAGATAACTTTAAATAAATAGTTCTGAAAACTGAGATTTGGAATAAAATAATTTCTAAAAGTGAGTTTTTAGTATTTTTATTTAGTATTAAAACGGCTTTATATTTTTAGATATATTTGTTTATTTTATATCGTCGGCTTTTTTAAATTTTCTATATTTCTTCATCATTTATACCTATCAATAATTTTGTTCTAAACTGTATGTATTTGATCTTATAGAAAGCAATGTCTTCATTTACATCCTGCTTTTTTATAACATACACTTAGCAGAAAAACTCTGCGTACAGAAAGTAAATTTTGTTCCAACATATAAAAAGTTACTAAATAAATAGATTTTTTAATTAATTTTATTTTTTATTTGTACTTTAATTCGTTATCTTCATTTTAAGCTAAAACTTATTTCTAACAGATTAGTAGAAAAATTATAATAATTAAAAATGTAAAAAATCAGCGCTATCGGTGGCAGAAAAGTCTGCGTACAAAACATATAAAGGGGAATTCCCGAAGTTTTAACAGTAGAACTTTGGCGTGTTTTATGTTTTATTGAACCAGTATATCATTATACACAATCCCACGCACTTATTTTAATTAAATTTTTAATGACAAATAAAGGAAAAGAATTTATTATCTGTGAGAGCAGTATTATTATTGATCTATGGACAAAAAGGAAAATGTATCGTGAAATTGGTCAAATCGTTAAGCGGTCACATTCTTCTATCCAAAGAGTAGTAAACAACAACAGCTAAACAGGATTATTGACTTCGAAGCAGCGATTTGGGCGTCCATCCAAGCTGTCAACAAGAGAAACTCGCAGCATTATTAATTCAGTGAAAGATAATCCTCGACTAACTGGACTTCTGTTATATAAATATATTAATATACGCATTGATATATATATTGATATTGATATATTGTACGCAGACTTTTTCTGCCACCGATAGCGCTGATTTTTCACATTTTTAATTATTATAATTTTTTTACTAATCTGGTAAGTTTTAGCTTAAAATGAAGATAACAAATAAAAGTACTAATAAAAAATAAAATTGATTTAAAAAATTTATTTATTTAGTAATTTTTTATATGTTGGAACAAAATTTACTTTCTGTACGTAGAGTTTTTCTGCTAAGTGTATATATTTTTTCAGGAATGTAGTATAGAGTTTAATTTAAAGTAAAAGTTGTAAATTGTTAAAATATCTAATACTTTGTATTATTTCTTCTTCAATTTATAATTAATAGTAGCATAATTATTAATGATAACTTTAGTTGCGTTAATTTTTTCACTTGTTTGTATTAAAGAAATTTATTTTTACATTTGAGTACATTTTAACACTGAAGATGATACACTTAATACACATTTTTCCATTATTTTCCCTATGAAATAATTTTTATTAATAAAAATAATTATAATATTAAAAAGGGATGAATCTATTCAACTAAAGTATATCTTATCCATTTCTGCGTATAACAAAATGCATAAGCAATAGGTGTCATGATATAATATACATGCTATATATATTTTATCTTAGATCAACACTTTTATTTTGTCTTAAAATTGTTCAGACGATTTAAAAAATTCACTAGAATTTATATTAAAAACATCGTCGGTAAAAATTAAAATTTGCACTCTAACCACTACTAAAATGACTTACCTGTGCACATGCCTCATAAGATTCCGGCTTAATGATATTTTTCTTTGAGCTTCTAGTACTATTCATTGTACTGCCACTTGACATAACAGTTCCACTGTTAACAGCATTTGAACTACTACTCTGCAACTGATAGGAAATTTTCTCATCCATTACATCAACCAACATTGAACCGGGTTTAATGCGAATTCCATAATAATGATACTTTGAATTACCGCGCGTACCCAGACGACGTGTGCGTAGACCGGAGAAGACAGAACGTATTAATTTGCCAAAACTGGCTGCATTCACTGGCTCCAATTTATTTTCATTACAATGTTGCATGTAATGATTGTAGAGAGTGGAACGTGGCAGACTGACACCTTCGGCAGTCTCATAATTACGTGAAAGCCATTTGATCTAGAAAATATAGAGACAATATTTATAAAGAAAATCATTGGTAACCGAAATAAAAAAAAAATAATAAAATAAAAAAATTAAAAGTAAAATAAGTGATAACAATTTGATTTACAAAAAAAATAAAACAAAAAAAAAAAACAAAAAGGGTAAGATGCAATAGGTAGAATGCAACACTGTTGTTGCCCGGTTACTACCAGAGATGTTATGAAGAAATTTCGTAATGCGCAGCTGACATTTTTTTAAATATTATACTGTTATACTGGTTATCATGCTGTGGGCGTTTTCAATTTTCTTACCGTTGCCGAGGCGATTTTATTTGTATTCCCCAAAGTATTTTGTTCACTTTCTGGTGATGCACCACCGCCACCGGTACCAATGCTGCCACCACTTAAAGAGTTTGTCGTTGTGGTTGAAGTGGGTGTTTGCGGTTTGCTGTGTGCTTCATGCAAATAAGTCACTTCCTGCAATTTTACAAAATATTTCTCATAAATATATTGGTTCTTTCGTATTGTAATAAAATAATTTTTGGAATTTATTATTGCTTTTACCATACCGTAAGACTATGCGGTGAATCCTGACTATGCGATTGTGATGAAGAATTCAGCAACAATGTCTCTTCAACCGGCACCAGATATGGTAGTGTTGATGTATGTGTTGTTGGTGTGTTGGTCGATGTAGTGCCATAGTTGCCAGACGTTGTTGTTGCGTAATAGGTTTGTCCATTTGTTTGATAATCGCCAACTGGACAGAATGGATATGTCCTGTATGAAAAATTCAATTCCATATGATCAAATTAATTAAATTAATTTAAAAACAATTTGTTGGTTATTTACATTTGAGTTTGACTGGAATTACTATGATATATCTCAGAATCCACATATTGTACTTGATAGTTTGGACCAGCATCTTGAGCGGAAACTGCAAATTGAGAACAAGTATTTACAAATGGTTAAGTAGATACAAAAGTATTAATCAATATAAAGGAAATGATAAATGTTTTTAATAAATATTTAATCTTTATCCAAATAAACTAAAAGTAATATAATTTCGTTAATAAGAATTTATTAAAATAATTACAATTATTTGGTGCAAAATCTGAGCAATTTAATAATATATGAACTTGCTAATTGGGTATCTACATTGGCAAGATTTTGGCAATATTTTTATTTTCGAATGCGAATACGGAGTATTAACGATTTTTCACTAAAGTGAGAAATCATCCCAAAAGTCTAGTCATTCTAGGCCTTGGATAAAGATTTATCAGTTATACATCTGAACATTTCTTAATGAGAGTTTTGAAAATAACAATTTGCTTACTTTAATGAGATATACATTTTAATTATAATAATTATTATAATACAAATAATAAATATTATATATTATTATTACAAATAATTATTATAATACAAATATTATACCAATAAATTTATGGAATTTTCCGTGATTCATTCTCTTGTGTAAATAATTAAATAATGTATGTGTATGGGATATATATATGTTCAGGGATAATAAGCTTTTTTGATTGCCGCATGCTTTTCTCGGCTCTCCAAAAGTCAGTTAGGTTTGGCTAGTACATGTCCCGATGTCCATAGCAGAGTAACAGAATTTCTCGTCACTGAGAAGATTAAAACAGTTCCAAACCAATTCCGATTGGAATGTGAATGTCATTAGTGATTTCAGAGCTATTTGACTGTCTTAAATCTACATAGCAGTGTTTTATTTCTTCATCCTTTATAACATGTCCATCTAGGTACTTCTTTCGCTTATATAATAGAGCTGAGGAAACTCCCAACTTGTATTGAGATCACAGTATATATATATATATATATATTGATATTGCAACATTTAGTTATAGTTTATGTAGTTATATATTGACATTATAAAAAATTATAATTATTATTGGACTGAATACATTTCTACATTACATCTTAAAATAATAACAAATAATATAAAAAATGCTGAGCACATGCCATCAAATGGGTCTTTCATTCACTGTAATTTTTAAATTATTTAATGTGAGCGATACATCACAAAGTAATTAATAATATAGTTATACAATAGATTTTTTAATCCAGTAACAAATAGATTTCTCGGCACTAACAATTTCTAGTTATTTTTGTGAGAAAATTAGTTTCCAACCTGACGTAGTAATTTTTAGTATAAAATTTCGATTTCTCTGTCCCAGTAAGACTTGTTGCAAATTTTTGGTTGAAAATCGATTTCTTGGCACTAATATTTCTTTGTAACTTTTTATGGAAGACCGATACCTCTGTGCCATGAACTTTTGAGACAATCAATTTTTGGTAACTACAATTGGAAAACTAATATATCGACACTATCAATTCTTAATAACTCATAGTGAAGATTTCTTCTCTGATACCATTAGTTGTTTATAACTCTGTGTGGAACACTAATCTCCAGATGCCAATTATAAGTAACTACTTTAAATCTGTGACAATAAGTTCACTTAAGATGTACAATTACATACTACTAATTGATTTAAAACAATATTCCACTTCTGATTTTAGCGAGTAAACTTAAATGATAAGGACGTTTTATTACAACTAATTTCTTTATTGATTACTACATTAGGGAGTTTTGTGGTTTCAAATTAACTAAGCTCATCAGGATTATTGACACTTAAAATAACCAATATTTGGCGATGAGCTATGTTATGATGAAATACTTCCAACACTTGCTATTCTTAAGCTCTTCTTCCGATCTTAACCAATGCACTAAGTCAACTGTTTTGTAATAGGTTTAAAGATAACATATGACTTGGGATGTACTAGATTGGTTGGCTGTTGGTATGTCCAAACTTGATCTACTTGCTGTTGTGAATAAAAGTAAGGTTTGTATGTTTCGTATTTATAAGAAAAGTATATCGAATTAAAAATGTGAATATAAAATGGTGCTGTTACTGTGAATGCCTACTTCAGCAATTACAAACAAATGAGTTATAATGTAAATTAAACTTTGTTTGAAATTATCCTTAATATATAATAGCCTTATAAATTTGATAGATGTTCCTTTGCAGTATATTATCATACATAAAAAATACGATTAAAAAATATATGTACAACAGAGCTTCGGATGTCCGTTGGATAATTATTTTTTATTGCATTTTTTACTTTAAGTAATTACATTTATTATAAATGTAATTTATTGAAAGCAAGATTTAAATTATAGTGGCATCATACATACAAAGAAATATTGACTTTTAAATTAAAGCACAATTAAGAAGTATCACTACTATCACTACTAAGTGATAGTAAGGAATTGGCAACTCTTGATCATCTGTTCAACATGCTTTTATGGGTATGACCAGAAAGAGAGTAATACTGAAATTATTAATCATACAACTGACTGCATAACATGGCCCCTGGGAACCGGCGATCTATGTGTTGTCTCTTCATTTAATAAATATAATTTTTAATATTTATTAAAATTTATTTTTTAATCAAATTTATTTAACTAATAATATATTTATATTATTCAATTTTTATTTATTTTATTAAATAAATTTATTTAGGTTTATTAGGTATTATTTTAAAATATATTCATTTTTAGGATAGAATATTCAATTCTTCAATCATTAAATTTTATTACATACTTTATGCCATTCAAAAAAAATAAAAAAATCAAAAGTTCTAGATTCGTTTTCGGTATATAACGGTATACTGTCATTATAACCATAGCGACTATTAGTTAAAATTACTTCTAATTGTGTTAAAATATATAATCAGATAAAAAATGTATACAACAAACTTACTAAAAATGTTATAAATTTCTATTGACATAGTTGAGAAATTTTATTAGAATTACTTGCATAACACGAACGTAGTCCTATTCACAAATATTAACGAATCACCGTAATTACCCGAATTTAAAACGTTGACAAATTGAGTAAAATATAAAGTTTTGAAATGTCAAATCGAGTGCTGCCACCTAATATAAAATTCAATAAAACAATTCATACGATAATAGATGTATGACTTTTACTTTAGGTTAATAATAAATAATTTATAAATATCAAAACGATTAAATCAGAAAAATTTATCTTAACTTAAAAAGAATATAAATAAAGATAGCAAGGTTTTATTTATTTTATTCAGCTATAATATAATAATATATAATATATACAGTATAGTATATATACAGTATATAAGCCCTGTTTTGAACTATTATTATGTATTGATGCCAATTGATTTTATATATATTTGAGTTTAATTTTTGTGACCTCAATACAAGTTGGGAGCTTCCTCAGCACTATTATATAAGCGAAAGAAGTACCTAGATGAACATCTTATAACGGATGAAGAAATAAAACACTGTTTTGTAGATTTAATACAGTCAAACAGCTCTGAAATCACTAATAGCATTCACATTCCAATCGGAATTGGTTTGAAACTGTTTCAATCTTCTCAGTGACGAGGAATTCTGTTACTCTGCTATGGATATCGGGACATCAGGTCCATGAAGACAATGAAATGGTGAATGCATTAGCCAAACCCAACTGATTTTTGGAGAGCCGAAAAAAGCATGCGACAGTCAAAAAAGCTTATTATTCCTGAACATATAAAAGCTGAAGTTATTCTTATCTTTAGCAAAACAAACTACACGGAACTGCTAACAGATTGCTGCCGATTCTGCAGGAAAGCGTTGGCAAGCAGCAGGAAATAAGATGAAGAACTAAGAACTAAGAATGAATTATGATAAAAATCGAAAATCAAAATAGTGTTGCCATGATTTTAAAAAAAATTCAAACAAACTATTCTGAATTAATTATTTTCACTATTGCTGTTATTATTTTTTCTTGAACTAAGTACAGCACTGACGTTATGTGAAAGTGGAGTGAAGAATTTTTTTTTCATAGGTGATATCACTTTATACGGAGATAACATTACGAACTTTCCTAATAGATGTCGACTTTGAGCTTAAAACCAGTTACCAAAACTAGTTACCATATAAAATAAGACACAACTAAGTTCTAACTTTCACTGAAAGTTAGCTTCGTTTAATACGTTTTCCTGAATTTAATTTACCGTATTAATTAAAAAATTTATTTTACTTTTAATTAATTATTTTATTATATGGAGTACATTTTTTAACGCTAATGTCTTTGTTGTTCTAAAACATTTTGTAAACTTTTAAATTAAGACCCCAGAACTTTTAGCCGATTCTATCAATCAAGTTGAAACAATAATATCTATAAGGCAATATTTATTTATTAAGCAAATTTTATATATCTGATTTATTTATTTAGAGTTTTGTGTCTAATTTTTATTAATATTATTGTAACATTTGTATGCTATTTATTTATTTATCTTATAATGTTTTTTAATTATAATATAATCATCATTTAACCCAGTTCATATAATATATATAATCTGTTAAAATGTTTTTTTTTTAAATTTATTTTATGAAGTTATTATTTAAATAAATACCACCAACGTTTTGAAATATTTTTGATTAGTACCTCAGGGCAGAGTTTTTTTTACAATTCGATTTATGAAAATCCTATTATCAGGTCAGCATATACAGAATTTTAGGAGTATCATTATCTATCATATTGTCTCTATAATCTTCCGAATATATTTAATAAGTTTTGATAATATATATCAATCCTTTAAAATACGAATTATCAATTAAAATATTTAAATTAGACAAAGCTCTATATATAGAGATAAAATAAAAAAACTGTTGGCAAATTGAGAAATTAGTAGACGAATAAAATAATTAAGTTCACTGAACTGGGAATGTTATAAGAAAATATAGGCTTCTACCATTTGTGATGATTTGAGCGACATGACGGTTACTCCCATTAGTGGCTTTCGTGTTGATATTAAAGTTAAATATTAAAATGAGAAAGTATATAAAAAGAAATTTGTTTTGAAATCGTGGACAATCAAATATAT